GCGCCTTCCACAGAGGGAGGCCAGACTGTGGCTTAGGCACACTCCCTACAGGGACATCAGTAGGACATCCTGTGAGGGCTCCCAGACTGTTAGAGGGGGCAGGCTGGGCTGAGGGATGCCCCCCAAGTGCACAAATTTTTGTGCACTGGGCCTCTAGTCATATAATATTTGTCCTTTTGTGCTTACTTTACTTATGAGGAAGGGGTCTTGGGTGTTTTATTCACTGCTCTATCAGTTGAGACCTAACTCAGTACACATAGGGTGGGGCCAAAGTAGGTTTATAGTTGTTCATGTGGAAAATAATACAATAATTAATAAATAACAACACAAGAGCAAAGCCTGTGTTTCGTGTACTCACAACTGCAAATCTACTTTTACCGCACCCTATATTGAGCACACGGATGCTTAACAAATATTTGTTGAATCAACCAATTCATCAATTTTAAGCAAGTCACAACTTTTCTGAAACTCAGTTTCTTAGCCGTGTGATGGTGCTACCTCACAATTCATTCATTTATTAAAATATCTTTTGAGAATCTATAGTGTTTCAAGCATTGTGCTTACTCATGAAAATCTCATAACGTGCAAAATGGGTATTCAGTGTCTTTTCTATTTGGGAAAGTCACTGTTTTGGTTTTGTGCAGGCTTAGGATGAAAACATAAAAAACAATGATGTATACGTAGGATTATGTGATACTGCACTGGAACGACGGATGTCAAAAGCCGTTCTGTTTTCAAATTCATTTACTATTAGCTGTTCTTTTCACTTTGTAGGATGATAACAAGGTCACATGAATATATATGTATGGGTATCATAAACTATAAAGCTCTCCATAAATGTAAGATAAAAGTATTGTCATTTTTTGATTTACTACTTTTTATGCTTTGGGAACTAAACGCTATCCACAAATTCTAATATACTTATAAAAACTTACTGACAATTGAGGCAGGACCTGGCTTTTTAAGTCAGTGTTGATTACACTGCACCTGAATTTTGCCAGGCCCATTCATATAGTGTTAAATGCTGACCAACAAAGAGTGCTATTTCCGGATGAAGGGCTGACACTTGAAAAATATTAGCAAATGGTGCTAAAAACGAGCCATTTTGCTTTCTGCACTTGCAACACCACGCCAGCACACACACCTTCAGACAGCAATGACAGGAAGAGGGCAAGCAGGCCTCACTAATCCTCTCAGCTCTTCAAACAACACTTTAGGGTTTCTACTTGAAGGCCTGTCTTTCTAAGCTTGTGCTTTCAAAACTTGGGCTGGACTGATCCCAAATACTGAAGTAACAAATATTACTAAATTCTGTCATTTCCTCTACCAAAAAAGTGATTTTACTACTACTTCTGGTTGTGATGAAAGGTCCTATTGACTATTCATTCAAATCCTTAACCGAGCTATGGATTCGGTATTAAATGACTTCACTACTTCTTCTCTGGCACTTTAACACATGCCAGTGCTTTCATCCGCCTCCACTAACGTGGCTCACAGATTACTGAGGTGGGGCCATTTTAATAGTATGATTTGTTCACATCTCTAGAGATGGGGTATAAATGAGGCTGGCTCAAAAGACAAACTCCCCTTTGACAACATGTATTGGGATGTATGTATAGAAATAAAAGTTAGCAATACCTTACTGATATACTACCTGGCTAGAAGCCGTGATAATTAATGGTTCTTTGATTTGCTATAAGTTGAAATGTAATGAAGTGATGGTAGAAAGGCTAAAGACAGAATGAAACATTCTCAAGAAATAGTAAGTTGAAGAAAAGAGATGAAGCAAAGAAAAGTTAAAGGTCATAAATGTGCTAAAAGTTTCTTTCTAAATGCTAAGAAAGGGGCTTCCTGAATGAACTCTGAAACCTAAGGAAGTCTGTTTATAAGAAGTTTATTGTTCTCTCCTTTTAAAACTGCCACAATAGCTATAAAAAAACACAGTGGTTAACCTATGAATCTTAAACAAAAACACAAGTGTAACCTCTCATTTTCAAAAAGAGTATAAAGTTACAGATGATACAAAATTACTAGAAGTAATCCATTTTTTAAACAGATGAATAAAATTGGCTCAACATACTTGTGGCCTTGGATCAGTTAAGAATAAAGTCAGAGGCTACTTGGGAAGTGCTCCCAAGTGAGGACCAAGCAGACACTAAGAGTCTGATGCGGAGGGCTGACTTCACCCAATTTTCCATGCACACAATCGGCCTCCATCTGTGTCCTGTTTTCAAAACAAGCTGGGCTATGCTTAGAACTTCTTTATACCAACTCTTGGCATTCCTATTGGGTCCTAAGAAGAAAGAACTAAGTGTGTGCATGTATGCATGCATTGTGTGTGTGTGTGTGTGTGTGTGTGTGAAGCTGGGATTTATGAGGAAATCCAGGCATTTTGGCCCTAGCTTTAATTAGGAGTGGGTTTCACCTGGAATCTTCCAACAGCCTTTTAACCTAGGGCCTAGATCAGTGATGGCGAACCTTTTGAGCTCAGCGTGTCAGCATTTTGAAAAACCCTAACTTAACTCTGGTGCCGTGTCACACATAGAAATTTTTTGATATTTGCAACCATAGTAAAACAAAGATTTATGTTTTTGATATTTATTTTATATATTTAAATGCCATTTAACAAAGAAAAATCAACCAAAAAAATGAGTTTGCGTGTAACCTATGACACGCGTGTCATAGGTTCGCCATCACTGGCCTAGGTACTTAGGGCAAGATACAGAAAATAGGGTAAGAGAAGAACCTCTGAACTCAATCAGAACTCAGTTCTACGCAATGAGGCCAACGTTACTGATATTCTGACTGCCGGACTCTGGGCCCCAGTATCCAGGTCCCCTAATTTACTTAGACCTCTTCTTCCTTAATGCACCCGTAGTCTGGTCAGTTCTTGACCTAGTTCTGTCTCAGCACTGCCTTTTTCATAGTATGACAACTGTGATCAGTAGTGTAAGTTTGGCCGCCTTGAAATGAAAGTCCTGTTTCTTAGACTGAGATACTTTTCTGCCCAAAAGGAGGGAAAGCATCAGTTGTGGGAAGAAGGGCACATGGAAAGATGAGTCACAGGCCAGAGACTGCGAGCAAGGCTGCCTGCCTGGAGTGTAGAACATGAGCTGGAGTGGTAGTAACAATGAAAGCAGTGTGACTGAGGGCAATGAGTGTGAGGTTTTAAAGCAAGTGATTAATTGAGGACGTCAAACTAGAAATTTTATCCAATGGTAGAAAAGGATAAGAATCTTAATAAAAAACAAAGTAGAAAATAAACATTAAACTGAGATTGAATGAGGTGAAAAAAGGCAAAGATGACACCATATGAAGGAATACTTTTAGATCTGCCAGGAATCACTAAGGGAGTTGTTTGGTGAATCTTTAGATAAAAGGCAATTTTGGCTCACATAAATAAAAAAATCATGAACCTTATTGTTGCTATTAAATGGAGAGATCTGAGGATACAGTTTATAATTTCTTTTAATAACAGCCAAACCCTGGATACTCACCCATGTTCTCTTCCAATTGGAAGGTATGTCCAAATAAAAACAGAGCACTGCAGCTGACCTTCCTGTACAACTAGGACATTTATGGAAGTCTACCTCTTGAAGTAGAGCCAAGTATGCTACAGAAACGCTGCATGGAAAACGCAAACCCAAGCAAGCATGCTCGTCTCTCGGGGCATGTGAAAGACATTATTTAGATGAGATGGTAACTGGTGTGATGTTGAGAGAACCACAAAAACAAGATAGGTTGGAAGGACCATGTCCTTGGTCTTTTCTTTCTGGCCTTGGATACTAAGGTGAGGAGACCACGAAGGACTTGCCAAAGCCACTAAACTTTTACTCCATAAACAATTCCCAATGCAAAGTGAGTCCCTAGAAGTGGTCTAAGAGAAGAGAAGGAAGCTATTACTGGTCAGCTGCAGAGGAAAGGGGTTGTAAAGTCCACATTCAAGTACAGTCTACTAGCAGTAACAACCCAGTAATGGGCTCCTGAGTTTAGCAGGAGGATTCCAATTCGTACCCATTGCTTCACGGTAGTATTTATAATGGCACAGAATAAGGCTCTCGCCAAAAATGAACTTTGCATGCATACTGTACCTGGTTAAATAAAACAGTCAACTGTAGTGTAAAGAGGGTTTACAATCCAAAGAAGCAGGGTGTATGCAGAAAGTAGGAAAGGAGTGAAGAGGAATTACTTACCTGTGCTATATTTTTGTTCAGAAGATAGACACCATAATCAAATTGCAGTTTCTCCCCTCCTTTGGGGTATAATGGAAACCTAGAAAAGGTAAAGTAGGGTCAGAAGTTTTCAGAAACTTGAGTAAAACAACCTCAAGGTTGTTGATGAAGGTGGGAATTTCTTTGATACAGCATAAACATCTAAATCACTTATAGTCTTTGCAACCTATTATCTTAATAGCTTCATTAAATTAGTCAAATCACAACAATGGCTGCTTTTTTTCATAGAAAAAAATGGAATAGGTCATGCAACAGGAGATTAATATATTAGAAAGTGGCTTACTAACCCCAAGGAGTTGAGGCCACTATGTTCCATATTTACATATCAAACCTTATCACCCTAGGAATAAGACCCTAGAAAATTTTTCCTCTGATACCTTGGACCCAACACCTCAACTACTAAATGAAAAAGAAAAATTAAGAAAAAAAGATCAGATGTAAAAGCAATCTATACAATTTGTTTCATTTAAGATAGCCAGTCAAATCAACAGTATCAATATGAGTGAGAATGCATTAAAAATTCATTCATATTCACAGGGGTGGCTATTTGCATGTTATGTCTCCAAGGCAAATTACTCATGCCATAGAGTTCTCCTAAGACTTTCCATTTTAATCTGACTCACAGAAGCAACAGAGGCATTAGATCTGTGGATCTTTATAAATAAAGATAATGAGTTATTTTAAGGAATAAGTTTCCCTCACTATTTCCCTTTCCTACTCCTGCAAATGAAGAAGAAAAGGGTACAGTATACCTACTTAGTCATATTTTCCCGATTCTCAAGACCAAGCCTACGTTTTATCCTCTCGAATAGATTTCACTACAAACAGATCCTTCACTACATAGATAGAGTCAAGAAGAAAACGCCACCTTATTTAGTTTTGCAATTTATAATTATTCTCAAGAATAAAATTATCTTACTGAAATGAATGGCAGGTGACAATTACTGGATTCTGAATTTCAACTGCGTGAGGAAAAGGTATATCCCATAAAGCCTGGGGGATAGTGTTTTCTAGGGGAAATAGAAGGAAACCAAATTTAAAAGCTTTATATTAAATTCTCAAAAGTTGCTGATTACATAGCATCCAAAAGGTAAATCTGTTATGCTGTAAATGCACAGGCGCTGGAGAGTGAGCAAGATCATGAACTGTTTTTATTCCGCACTAAAGGAACACCAAATGCTTTGCACACCCATCGGGAAGATAACAGGTTTGTACTTAAGGGAAGTAGTAACACATAAACTACGAAATGTGCTTTGGTTCTAAATTGACATGCATAAAAATGACAGCAAAGCAAATTCCGGATAAGCAAAGTGCAATGCCAGGCTTTCACAGGGTGAAAGAATCATTACATTTGTGTTGGGCAGTTGCAGAGAAACTAGCCAATTGGAGGAACTAACAGCACAGGAACACTTTGGAAGAAATCTACTAGAGCCCTAAAGCTGTGCACTTTGTAGTTGGTATTCTTTCTAGAAACCATCACACACAGACTATCTGCATAGCTGTCCAAATGCACAAATATCTCCACTTTCACATTATAAATACAGAAAGTGCTTCAGGTGTCAAAAAAGAGTACATCAAGATAGGCATGCATTGAAAACAAAGCCTCTACATTCCTGAAAAAACAGATTTCACTACACTGGCTTTACTTCATTGGGACTTCTTTATAGAAAGACCCGCAAGGTGTATATGTAACATTAAAACAGATCTAAAGAGTGACTAGAGCCAAAAGTTCCACTAGGGCAATTTTAAATTTTTATTATGCGCATTAAGACGACTTCTGCCCACAGCAGTAGAAAAAAAGGTGACAATACATAGTCAATATGCTCTGAGGCTATGACTTCACTGCAAACTCAACACACTTTTCCTGTCGCCCTTAGTTTTCCACCACAACTTTTATCAGTCCCTCAGGCCCCGAGTGACATTCCATTTCACCCGCCTTCTTTGCTTTTTACATGTGTGGTGATTCACCAAGTCAACAAATTATTTTTCCTGTGAAACAGGCTTATCTCTCCATTCCCACTGCCACTCCGGAAAATTCTTTGTTGTTCTGTGCCTTGTAGATGTTTAGCAGCATTCCTGTCCTCTACTCACTAAAAGCTAGTGTTATTATTTAAGACGTTTTTTTTTTTTGGCCACTTCTCAGCCCTGCTTTCTAATCAGTCAGTGTCTTACATTTTAACTTCTCTGCCTCGCTTTCAGGGCCTAACTGATCCGACCTGTCTGCCTGATTTATCTGCAACCTCATTAGGCACGTGAACACAACAGGTTCATCTCCCTCTGCCTTTGCTCACGTCCTGGAAATGCCCATCTCTCTTTCCTTCCACCTGGCAGAGTAAAAGATACCGAGCTTCACTTCGTCTAAAGAAAAAGACGCGCACATTTTAGTTGCATATCACTAAAGCTTTACCTAGAACTCATTGCAAGTTGATGATAATGCATGAAACCATAAGGCAGGCCGGAGGCAGACAAGATGGGAAATGGCTGGAGCAGAGTGAGCGGGAAAAGGAGTAAG